CGCCGTCACTTGATTGTGAAATTGTTCTAAAACGCGATTTCTTAATTTATGTGGAATGACTAACTGTTTTACACAATCCTGTTCTTTACTAAATTTACCCTTGGGGAACCAGAGGTGATATAATTTTTCATTTTCCATAACATATTCGTCTCTAGTATATGCTAATATTCGCGCCTTGCACGGTTCAGGCGGTAGGGTCCCGTTTGTTAACTATTATTTGGTTTATTTCAGGGTCGGCTGGTTGCATTTCGCTAACATTGCACCAGCCTGTGTCTGCAGGCGTTCCACCGACCATATCCCTTTCGCAATTTACGTCTACTGTTCCTTCATTATTAATTTCTGGTTGGGCTTTATCAGTCACTAAGGATATTATTCCAATTAAATGATTATCTTCCTCTAATTCTGTAAGCGTTTGGGGCCCCTCATAGGTACGTCTAGACAATGCATCGGCGTTTTGGTGAATCTTACCGGGCCTATGTACGACTTCAAAATCAAAATCAATCCGATTCGGCCCTTAGGCCTTACTAACCCGAATATATACTTTAAACTTGAATGATCCGTTATTACCTTGAATTTTGCGTGCCTTAGATACGGGTCAAAATATTTAATACCTACCACTATGGCCAAAGCCTCTAATTGTGTTATAGGATAATTCCGCTCTGCTGGGGTCAACGCCCGCCCGCCATACGCAATAACTCTCTCACGTCCGTCTTGCAATTGCGATAAAATAAACCCGATGGCTTGCCCAGAGGCGTCGCAACTTAATATAAATGGTTTCTCGAAATCGGGGTATGCCAATATAGGTGGATTTGTTAGCGCCTCTTTCAGCTGTTCGAATGCCTGTTGACATTCTTCCGTCCATTCAAACGTAACATTTTTGCTAGTCATCGCGTTCAAACACTAACTTTTTATAATAATTACAAATACCTAAGAATCCTCTCAAACTTCTTACATCACGTGGAACCGGGAAATCCCTTATGGCTGCACATTTTTCTAGATCTGCTCTGATACCGTCCTTACTTATTAAATGACCTAGATACTTCACTTCCTTACAAGCAAATTTACATTTCGATAACTTTAGTTTTAAGTTAGCCTTTCTTAACCTTCGAAATATTTGATTTAGGTCCTCCAAATGTTTCTCAAAAGTATCAGAAAACACGATTATATCATCTAGATAAACTAAACAACTCTTCCAATTTAATCCCCTAAGCACAATATTCATGAGCTGTTTAAATGAATGTCCACTCCCAGCGACTCCCATTGGACATCGGTTAAATTGATAATTCCCAGCATGGGTCGTAAATGTAGTGAGTTCACGACTATCTGGATGTAGGTCTAATTGGAAATATCCACTTTTTAGCTCAAGCGTCGAAAAATATTTGGGTTTGGCTATTCCTAAGGAGTCGAAACAATCTACAATTAAGGGTAATGGATATGGCTCTAGTTTTGTGATAGCATTTAACTTCCTATAATCGACACAGAATCGATAAGCACCCCCAGGTTTCGTAACCAAGACAACCGGAAAACTCCATTCTGAGACAGAAGGTGAAATTATATCTTCATATAACATATCATTAATTTGTTTTTCAATTTCCGATCTTTTTTGGGGAGTGACCCTGTATGGCCGACAATTAATTGGGTCGGGGTCGCCTACCAATCTTATTTTATGTTGGATTATTTTCGTGTGACCCATATGTCCGGCAATTTCAGCAAATACATCTCCATTCATATTTAAAAATTTCCTTAATGTTTCTTTTTGTTCAGTGTCTAAATCAGCCCCCGCCATGTCAACATTAAAAGGGTTTACAGTTTCACTAGGGTAATCATCGTACTTAAACTCATTCAAATTTAAGGTTCTCTCTCTGAGCCAACGTCAATTATGCCAGTATCCGGGGTCAAACATTGTATCATTCCAACCCTAATGCCATGAGGATTTGAATTTCTGTGTCTAACGGATCATTATTCTAA